AGCTTCAGTGAGCTGTGGGAGTTTCACTGAAGTTCTGCTTCCTTCTGAGAGCCCCTGCACTCGTGTAGATTTATTACTGTTTGGTAGTAACTGTTCAAGAAGTGTATCTGGCGTTTACGTTGCATAAGGAAAGTTAGGTGGTTGGGGGCAATAAGGAATTCAAGTCAATGAGCGGCTCAGATAGAAAATGTGTTTTTCTTAACAAACTATGTATCAGCAAATAGTGCCCTTCTCTGCCAGGATCTGTATTTCACACTTCGACATCCCAAGCATGTTATCCTAGTTTTCCTCTCTCTGGCAGCTCAACCAGAGCTGTCACATCACAAACAACTTTTTTCTTAATATACACATCTGGCGTTGGCAGTTGGACCAACTTCATAAGAGCACATGATCATCATTCATTACAAGATTAAAAAGTACCCCATGGCATCATTGATGTTTTTTAACTTTGATCTTTTGCAGTTGTGATTCATCTCAGTTATAAAACTTCCCTTTAAAGGAACACAACCGATGACTTATTAGAACCTTCATTCTAAGTAGCGTAAACATAAAATTATGCACATCTTTACAAAATGTCATTTACTTTGTTGCCAGCTTATCATTTTAAGACATGACATCATGCTTTAGATCGTGAATTTGTAAGGCTTGTTTATAGGCAAGGCACTCTGACCTTCTGTTGGCAAGTTGACTGGAGCGAGCGAAGGCTGCGTGCTTTCCAGCAGCAGTAGGAGCAGCAGCAATACCATGACAGATATCACAATCATTCAGAGCTTGACTTTGAGAGTGCTGAACAGTCACGGCACGCAGTGACTCCAGTTAGTGTTTTGGATGCTCAGCACTTCAGAAAGTCAGGTTCTTAAATGTAAGTGCCATTTAGTCGTATTAAACATGCTTGTAGAAGCTTGCTGCCTTGCCTCTCTGTTATTATTTTAAAATATTTTAATAGAGACAGTGATGTCAGGTTGCTCTGTTAGGAAAACCTGCCCATTTCTATATGAGGAAAGGTCTTCTGATGATTTCTCCTTGGAAAAGATTTATTTATTTTTAATTACCTAGTTCAGCCTATCTAGATTACCATCCGAGGACATCTACTGTGTTGCACAGTCTTTGTGCTGGATTGAGACAGCGCATTGCACTCTGAGTGACGGAGTCTAGAGACGGGGTTGTATAAGATCTTTGGGAATCATTGGGAAATCCTGCAGATTTTTTTCTTTCCTCATATCCAGGATAAAACCTCTGCCATATGCACATCTTAGCCAGCAGAGCTGCCTTCCAGCTGGGAGGGCTGAAAGAAGTTTTCTGGAGAAATAAGTTGCCATGAGGTCATAACTGACTGACAGATAGCAAGAGATTACTGTAAAGGAATTAAAAGAAGAAAAAAAACAGAACAACCCCCCCCAAACCTTTACCTAAGCCCCCCTTTAATGCCTTTGCCTTCCCTCATTACAAATACAGAAATAATGATTTGCCCTTCCGTAGTGGTACCTTTAGAATAGGAGACGTCCTCCTTTCTGGCTGCTTTTGGTAGAAACCCAGTCAGGAGGGAAATCAGGAGGAAGGAGGGAGGAGAAGTCTATGTATTTTTATATTTTGCCTGGCTTCCAAAGACTTTAGTTCGTCTCTAATTAAAGGTAGTCTCCTAAGTCACCGACCACAATTTTCTCTATCAGCTTGAATCGAAAAGTGGTTGTGAGCTTTGAACTGAAGCGTTTCGGTAGGAGAAAAACTGCCGTATTTCATTCAGCTCCTGAATATTTCTCTGCTGCTGCAGCTTGCAAGGTACACACGTGATGAAAGGTATGAGCAAACATCGCCTTTTTGTCTGTGCACGCTGCAGAAGCCAGCGAAAGCCAGCAAGAGGTTCTGCTCAGCCTTTGTATTAACTGTTTGGCCGACCTGGCTTATAAAACGCAGATAAGTGATTGAGATTTTTGAGATTCCTCGACTTAAAACCATAACAGTTTTTAGGAAGTTCTCCCTCTTTTCTTTCAAAGGCGGAGGGTGGAGGGATAAGTCTGGGGCTAGTGGAATGTGCTTTGGAGTAGAACAGCTTTAAATCTTTCAGTATTTTTTTTTTTCATTTTTTTTTCTCTTTTTTTTTTTTTTTCTTTTTTTTTCCTTTTTTTTTTTTTTGTTGACTGCCTGTCAGGAGCTGGGCTGGTGGCCAAGCAGGAAATGACACATCGAGAGGCATTTGTGTTGTGCAACATTTTGTGGAACTGATGCAAGGATACATTGTCTGTTTACGCATTCCTCTGCTAACAGCCTGCATGGCAGTAATTTTATTCAGGGACACATGGCATGCTACAGCAAGGAGCTAGATCCTTAACATCTCTTTATGCAGAATTATCACAGCAGTTAAAACACGCTGTGTGTCCCCTGTTTAGAATATTCTCTGGCCTGCCTTCAAAAACCACTCTACCAGCCCCCTTCCTTCCCAAGAATATATTGATTTGACTGTGGTTTTTTGCACTGCGGTAAATTGGGGCAGTGCAGAGAGAGAGAGTTTGCAGATCAAGAGGAGATTTTACAGGCAGGTCCCACTTTGTGCATCTACCTCAGACTGTAAATGTAGCGTCACGGTTTTTTCAAGCGATGCGTTGCACGCTGAACACGGAAGTTTGCATCTGCATGCTTCTTGGCACGGCGAGGAGGTTTTTAATTAAAGTCAATGCTAAATACCCTGAGATACGATGAGCGAGTCCTGGGTTTTCAGCCAAACCGAAGTTAAAAAATCTGTGACTTGCTCTGGTGTCTCTCAGAGTGACAAATCTCTACTGAGATCGGCTGGGTTATTCCGGATTTCTCCCAGCGTAAGTGGGAGCAGAGGAAGGCAGAGTGGGCGGTCTGGTGGTTTGCAAGTTGCTCTAAATGACTTTGTAAAGCTTAATGTTTGCGTTATAATGCTCCTTTGTAAGAAACGAG